CCCCAGGGACCCCCCCCCCACCCCAGCCACAACTCCGGACGGGGCCGGACCACACCGTCCCAGGACACGTGTGGCCTTCAGCTCTGACCGACCTCGGTGGGGACGGGGACGGGGCGTCTGGGGACGAGGAGGCCACGGGCAGGGGCGAGGGGAGGGGAACAGAGAGGAGGCCTGGCGGGCTCCCCCACACGGCCCAGCCGCCCACACACCTCGGTGCAGTTGCTGGAGTATTCGTGCGGGCTGACGACCTTCAGCTGATACAGCATCTTGCACACGATGATGATACAGGTCCACACGGTGGACAGGCAGGAGGCCATGGGCCGGAAGCGGGGGTAGGGCAGGGCGAAGGCCCACAGCACGACCAGAAGCAGGTTCATCACTGACACCTGGAAGGCAGGGGGGTGGGGGGGTGGGGGACTGGGGCGGGCCGATGGAGCAGCACCTCCCCAGGGGCCCTGCGATCTGCCACCCAAGGGTCCCGGCCTCTAGGGGACCCCACTGCAGAAAAAGGAGACGCCCCTGTCCCTCCCTTACCTCCTTCAGGGCCACCCACACAGTGTACAGGGCCACCAGCTTGAGGACGTGCAGCTCCAGCAGGCGTCGCACCAACACCTGCACGCAGGTGAGGACCTCGGAGAAGCGGTCAGCCAGGTCCAGCAGCCGCTCGGCCACCAGGCCCCACTTGCTGGTGGCGGCTGTGGGAGAGGGGCCGTGAGGGCTCGGGGACCAGGGTCCCCGGGCCTGGGGCTCGCAGGGGTCTGGGTGAAGGGACCCCACGCCTGCCGGTCTGACTCACCTTCGGGGACCTGCACGGCCTGCTGGGGGCCGGCCCCGCTCAGTCCCTCCTCCCTGGCCACCTCCTCCTCCTCCTGCAGCAGCGGGGTCCCGCTGACCGCGTCCTGCCTAGGGTGGGCCCCAAGGTGTCACTCCTCGCCCCAGACCCCGGGGCACGCCCTCCCCGGGGTGGACAAAGGCCTCCCCTGGGACCCGGCTGATGTGCTGCCCCCGTGACCCGAAGGCCAGAGGAACACCCGGTACCGCGGGCCTGCCGTGTCCGGAGCAGCGTCCGTGTCCGCGTGGGCTCTGTGGGCCGTGTCTGAGGGGGCTGCTGAGGCCATCACCCTGCTCTGGGCCCTCCCGTCCGAACCCAGCAGCCTCCGTCCCTTCCCGGGGGATGAGGCCCTTCCCTGTGCGGGTGTGTGTGTGTGGGGGGGTGGTGGCACACGCTGCAGACCCCGGGCCCCCGGGAGCCTGCACCCGAGTCCGCACGCCCAGAGGCAGCGGAGGGAGAGGGGCCGGCCGTGGAGGGCGGGCGCACCTTCGAGCCCAGCGCGGGAGGTGGG